TGTCCCTGCCCCTGTGTCTGTCTGTCCCTGCCCCCCATCCCCCCTGTGTCTGTCTGTCCCTGTGTAATTCTGTTCCTGACCCCGTGTCAGTCTTTCTCTCCGTGTTGGACTGTCCCTGCACCTCAGTCTGTCTGGCCCGGATCCCGCCCCTCTGTCTGCCAAGTGAACAGCAAAGGCCGTGTGGCCTCCCCCTCCTTTCCCCGATGGAAATGATTCCCCAGGCTGGAGCTGCTCCTGGCCTGTGCGCTCCCTGGAGAAGGGGCTTTTCCTTCCCTCTGTATACCAGCTTGGGCCTGCTGCGGGTGGCAAATGTTACAAACCATCAGTATTTATGATGAACCTCTCCTATAGTCCACACGTGCCTCTCCCAGGCCTGGCCGTTCTAGGCTGGAACGCATGGACCACCTGTGGCATGCATGGTCCATGCCACCACCGCACGCATGACACATGTGCCCACACATGTCTCTCACCCACAGAGGCTGGTCCAATCAAAGCTATTACCTCAACCCCCCTTTCTCTCCGACGGGCCGTCACAGCATGGATGGATACCCGCTTGGGGACTGTTCTACACCCCCTGGTACAACGGGCCCTGGGCCATGACTAGGTGCTACGCAAGACGCCTCCTGAACAGGAATAACACTGCACGGCTCGCCATGCTGCCAGGCTGCGACCCACACATGTCTAGCCGCAGCGTCACGGTAACAGCACGTGTGTGATTCACGCACTGGGTGTGTATGGCCCAGGCGTAGCAGGGGAGTCAATCTAGACTCCACTGCTCCGAGTACAGTATACATAGGAAAGGTTCCCATCTCCCCCCACTGGGAAATTTCACACACGTGCAGGGGATGTCGCTGTCCCTTTAATTCCTCAATGCCCCCCCCCCCGCAATGCAATTGGCTGGAGCTGGAGAACGTTCAGACATGTCGAAGAGCGTCCTGCGGCTGTGATTGGCTACTCAGAACGCCGCTGGATACTTCCTGGAATGTCTGCAACCCAACGTTCCATCAGGTCAGTTTTGCAGGGGAAGGGGGGGGACCTCCTGATCTCCCCCCCCCCCACCCATTAGCCCCTTTCTGCAGCATCTTAGGAGCTTTGGTCAGGGGGCCTGAGCCCCCTTGCAGGTGGTGCATTGCAGGGCAGGGGGCATGGGGCATGCATGGTGCAGGATACGTGCACCACCCCAGCAATTTTCAGTCCCCAAACCATGTCTCCTTTCCCTCCCCTCCTCTGCAAGAATTTCCACCAACACGTGAGCGAACTGATCCTCCAAGGTGAACGAGCCTCAACTCCTCCACCCCCGGAGAAAAGCACTTTGCTTGCACTAGGGAGAATGGCGATGGGGTTGCAATTTATACAAAAGGAGAAACAGGCATTTTCCTGGCGGGGGTGGTGTGAAATCAGGGCTGTGATTTGTGCCAAACATAAAATGCATTTTCCCGGCACAGGTAGTTTTTCAGGGTCTGTATTTTATTTGAATTAGCCTGTATCCGCTTTGCAAGTTGGACACAAATGTGCAGGATGGTTGGTGACTTTTGCAAAAGAGCAAGATGAAATACGGTGGGTCGCAATCAGGGTTGCAATCCATGCACGCAGGAATGGGTTTTTCTTGCCACCGTCTGACTCAGGGCCACAACTTGTGCAAAAAGAAAGGGATGCGATTTTATTGTAGGGGGTCTAGACTCAGAGATAGAAATTTGAGCAGAAATGAAAAACAGATGCACTTTTCTTGCAAGAATCTTCAATTGTGGTTGCCATTTTGTGTTTTCTTTCCTTTGGGGATAAATTAATAGCAAGATGTTTCATTCGTCCTACAGGGCATTCCCCTATTGGCTAACCTTGGGAGGGACCTGTGCCAATTCAACCCCTGATCCTGCCCATTTCTCCATGTCCCTGCATTCGCTCCACCTTGGCTGCAGGAGCCTTTCCATTCTGGGTGCTGACTGTCGCTTTCTTTTCAAATGTGGTTATATTCTTTTATTATTATTTGCAGAGATAACGTAGTGGAAGCCAGACGCCGCTCAATATGACGACTGAAACCTTTGTAAAGGACATTAAACCCGGCTTGAAAAACCTGAACCTTATTTTTATTGTACTGGAAACAGGTGGGTATTAATGACGTGCGAGATATATATGAAATATCTTACTGCAGTGGTTCTCAACCAGGGTCCATGTGCCCCTGGGGGTAGCAGAGGTCTTCCAGGGGGTACATCAGCTCATCTAGGTATTTGCCTAGTTTTACCTCAGGCTACAGAAAAAGCCCTAGCGAAGTCAGGACAAATTACAATTTCATCAATGACTTTTTTTATACCGTTCTATGTACCGTACACTGAAATGTAAGTACAATATTTATATTCCAATTGATGTATTTTATAATGATATGGTATGAATGAGAAAGTCAGTCATTTTTCAATAATAGTGTGGCTGTGACATTGCTGTATTTTTATGTCTGATTTTGTAAGCAAGTCGTTTTTGAAGTGAGGTGAAACTTGGGGGTAGGCAAGACAGATCCGACTCCTGAAAGGGGGCCGGCGTTCGTCTGGAAAGGTTGAGAGCCACTGTCTTGCTGAAATTCCATGTAACGGTTGTAGTCGGTTCTCAAACAATATTTGTGGCTGGATTTCACCCCGTCCCCGGCTGCTTTGTGATGTGAGTGTCCATTTCTGAGACACCATCATTGACGTCGGGTGAGTGCACAGGCTTACGTTCGCTGCCGTGACGCGGCTCGGCGTTGTAGGCTCGGGACCTTAGACTGTGAATTCTTTGAGGCCGGGACCACCGTTGTGGTCTGTGTCTGTACAAGGCCTTGTCTAGCCCAAAGGGGCTCCTCGGTGTTACCACGGAGACGTCCCGCGAACTGGACGGTTTGCTCCCCCCTGCAGGTCGGGTGACCAAGACAAAGGACGGCCACGAGGTGCGGACGTGCAAAGTGGCCGATAAAACCGGCAGCATCAACATCTCGGTGTGGGACGACGTAGGGAACCTCATTCAGCCGGGAGACATCATCCGATTGACCAAAGGGTAGGCGAGACCCTGCTGGGGGAGGGGGGAACCACGGGACCCGCTGCTCGCCCAGCCCGTCAGCCTCAGGCCCCCCAGGGCTCCTGAGACGAGCTCATTCACCGTTTGATAGACCAGGCTGCGGGCTCACCTGAGCGCCCCACATCTGGAATGGCGACGCCTGCCCTTCCAGGGGGAGGAGAACGGGCCAGGCTGCTCCTCTCCCCGGCCCCCATTCTCAGCGCCGGTCCCCTTCCTCTGCCGAGGGAGATACAAGCCAGAGCAAACAGGCCTGCGTCTGCCTGCTCAGAGCTACCCGCGAGCTCAGGTCGTCTCTAGGCTCCAAATTTCCTAACTTTCTAGGCAGGCTGCAAAAGTGTGTGTGTGTGCGGGGGGGATGTGGGAGAAGGCCCAGGGCAGTGGCTGAATTCCTGCTGACGACTTTAACGCTGAGAGTGCATCATAATGGATGTATGGTGGGGTCAGGGCACCTTGGGTAGGAGACTTTATGAGTTTAAATATAGAGATACAATTAAAAAAAAATCAAGTTAAGTCCCTGGAAAAGATCCTTCCCGCACACACACACAGTTAATCTCAGAGTAGCAATAGGACGCCAGCTCTCTATCCCTGGACATGGGGGTGGGGGGAAGTTACCATAAGCGGGTAGGACTGATCTCAATGGATTCATCATGACGGTTTAACTTAGAAACGATGTCAAGGCAGGATTTTACTGTCCCTGTATCCCGAGGAGAAATCCTTGTCCTTCTAAGTGGCTGGATCTTCCCCCCGCCGCCCCCAGCCTAGCTAGCGCTGCACCCGGAAACTGCGACTGCTTTTGTGGGAGCCGCTTGAAAGAATCATTAGGGCGCCCCCTGGTGGCACTGCCAAAGCAGCACACAGTGCTGCCGGGGGGGGGGGGGGGGGGAGGTTCTTCTCTCCTTCTATAGGGAGTTGTGGGAAGCAGCGTGTAAGTCAGAGCGGCCTCAGGGCTGCTCTAAATTACATCGGGGGTGTCCCTGGCCAGCCCCAGAGCATTGGGAGCACAAAGGTGCCTCCCTCAAGTGCAGGTTCAGGGGAAGTGAGAATTGGGGCCCATAGCTCTGCACCCAGTCCCGGGTGCGATTTCTGGCCTGCAGCCCCTGGGGCAGCCCCGGGCAGTTCACCCCAGATCTCGGCATTCCTCTTGCTTTCAGCTACGCGTCCATTTTCAAAGGCTGCCTGACCCTCTACACGGGCCGCGGAGGAGACCTGCAGAAAATCGGAGAGTAAGGAAGGCCTGTTGGCTTCACTGCGGGAGCCCTGGGGACGTCGCTCACTGGAGCCTGGCTTCTTAGAGGCTGGGGAGGGGAGAAGTGTGGGGCAGCCCCAAAGCTGGAGCGATTTGCCCCCGGGGCTGACCATGTGGGTGTCTCCTCAGGAGTGGTGTTTAGAGCATGGTGGGGGCAGGGAGCCAGGAGTCCTGGGTTCTGTTCCCAGCCCCGGGAGGGGGCCTGACCTGATGGGTAGAGCAGGGGAGACTGGATACCTGGGGACTGTATTCCCAGCATAGTTTGCATCAAGATCTTGGCCTGAGACAGTCCAGGACGCTCCCCGCTGGAGAGTCGGGGCATCCCCACCCCCGGGATAAGGCTGAGTGCGAGGGGAGGAAGGGGTTGGCTGGTGGCCTCGCTGACCTGCCATTTCCCTCCCTAGGTTCTGCATGATTTACTCCGAGGTCCCGAACTTTAGCGAACCCAACCCGGAGTACGTGACCCAGCAGTCCCAGACCAAAGCCGTGAGTCCCAGCGGGGGGGGCAGAGGGCTGGGGGGGCCCATCGAGCGGGGTAATCGGATCTGCTCACCTGCGGATGCCCACGGGGCCAAGGGGCACCGGAGTGTCGCTGGAATCTCCCCCGTCTCTGCTCCTGCTGGGATGGGACGGGGGTGGGGGTGGATTTGTGTACGTCGCAGACGCACGGCTGGGTTGGCTGCTGCCCAGAAGCGGACGCATCTCTGTCCCGCGGGCGACTGGGGAAATGCGCCAGGATCCTGCGAGATCCGGGATCCCGAGTTCTCATTTCCGTTTCCTTCAGGCCCAGAACGACAACGCGACCCCTGCTGCTTCCCAGACCACCCCGGGCCCCGCCGCTTCGTCCCCAGGTAAGGGACCCCCCCCAGCTCTGCAGGCCGTATGTCCCCCCATCCCTGAGCAAGGCGGGTGGGACGTGGCCCTGCCTCGGAGCCATTCAGCACTAGCCACTTGCGGGCATTCACAGCTCCAGCCAATTCTCCAGTCCAGTCATCCAGGGAGGGGAGTCTAGCAGGTTAGAGCAGCGGGGGCTGGGAGCCAGGACTCCTGGGTCCTATCCCCAGTTCTGGGTGGGCACTGGGGTGTAGTGGTTAGAGCAGCGGGGGCTGGGAGCCAGGACTCCTGGGTTCTATCCCCAGCTCGGGGAGGGGAGTGGCATGTAGTGGTTAGAGCAGCGGGGGCTGGGAGCCAGGACTCCTGGGTTCTCTGCCCAGCACTGCCTTGGCTTCGCTGTTCATTTCCCGGTGGAATCTGTCGCTTTTGTTTTTAGCTGCCGAGAGCCAGAACGGCAACGGGCTGAGTGCCCCAGGCCCCGGCGCCCCCCCCCACCCGCCAAACGTCCCGTCCCACCCCACCAGCGGCCGGATCACCAGGAGCCAGCCGAATCACCAGGGCGCGGGCTCGGCTGGGTCCAGCTCGTCCTCCAGCCCCATCAGCAACGGCAAAGAGACCCGGCGAAGCAGCAAGAGATAACACCGTGGGGTTGGGCCCCCCCCCCAGCTCTGTGCCGGCTCGCCCCAGGCCCCACTGCCCAGGCAGGAGGGCGGATGAGGAGCGGGGGAGAGACCGTGGCCGGCTGACGCTCCAGGCTAGATCAGAGACAGTGAAACCAAGAGCGTTTTCGTCGCCGCAGTCGCGACCGTTTTAACTGGGACTGTGGCGTTCTCCTGAGCAGAGACAGGGAGGGGGCGTCCCCCCCCCCATTGGAAACCAGCCCTTTATCTTCACGGAGCCACAGCCAACAGCCCTGCCCCTGCCGGCATCCCCACGTGCCCCTCTGGGGGCAGTGCCAGCCCCCCACCTCCCCACATCTCACTGGATTTTGTTCCTTTGGCGGATTTTTTACAAATATCCTGAAACATTTTAGCAAACTTTAAAAAGCCGATTTCGCCAGGTGGGGGTCAGTGGCGAGGGGGCATAGGACGGGAGGGGGCGGCAGTGGGCCCCCCCCCCTCCTTGCCCCTGGGAGGGGCCCGTTTGGGTCGTGGTGTCTCAGCGGAGGGTACCTAAGACTGAACTTGGAGCCAACTCTCCTCCGTCCCCGGGGCCAGCCCCAGCTCAGGGACCCTCGGGGCACACGCAGCGGAAGGGGGGGCGCTGGCTCCAGCCCAGTCGGCCGTGATCCCCGCCTGGGCCCCCTGCAGGGAACGAGGCTCCGGCGCGGTCCTCGGGGACC